TTAATTTCGGTCAACTTCCACCCAAGTTGTTTTTTCCAGTCATTATATTTTCAATGCGTAACCCTTTCTTCAACGTCTGTTCTCTAGACGGGTTGAACTCTATCGCTGAAAGCCATTAATCAAACCACCTAACGCTGGCAGCGGTCTGTCGACATTTCCACTTAGTTACTGCAATGGCTTTTTGTTCATGTCAGTCAGAAGATATGAAGACATGGTTCTGTTATTATCCAAAGTTATACTTCTTTGTTTGCTGGTCAAACATTAATAAAAATTGACATACCTATATCTCTTTCCTTGGAGGAGACGATTTCCAAGAACATACTGCCGTTAACACTAGACCAGTTGGAAACCAAGTGAACGCAGATAAACCTGGCACACAAGAAAATAAACATGGTACATTAAATGATAAAGCTATGTTTAACGATGGCGCCATTTCATCAAGCAATTCGATGTTTTGTTCATTTTAATCTTTTTCGTTTCACTAATAGTCGCCTTATCTTGTTTCTGGCTATCTCTTTCACCTAATTTAGGTAGCAGCTGAAGTAGGAAGCGACAGTTTTTTAAAACTATTTGTTTATTTTGCTTCACTTAAACCTCTATTAAGTGAAACTTTCGTTAAGCCCTTTATTAAGCGGACAGTTAGACAGTGTTCTCACTTGGTATCCGAGCCCTGGGGCCTGGGCACCTGCTCAAAATAGCGTTGCGTTCAGACGCTGGTTACTCGAAAGACCCGAGTCGGGCACGGGCACTGTGGCCCGAGAATCGTACTCTTGGACCGTGCATGACACCAAGTGTAAACATAGCCTTAGTCCTGTTTGTCCCAAAATTGGCGTCTTTTGTTTACCTATTCAGCAGACACCTCTATGAAGAAGACTCGGGCACTAAAATGAATTATGCTGTCAACAGTATTTTACATTGCGGAAAATTAACAAATAACATTTTTAAGACTGAGGCTACGATATGACGATTTTCGATTTTTAAATCGAAAATCCCTATACTGTAAAAAGTACTTATAAACAATTTTTCATTGGCAGATGACTTTAACACACAGATCAACCCTTACAAAGCTTATGGTCACGTCAAAATCATCTTGTTTTTCATTGGTTATCCACGCAGTCGTCACTCTCTCCTTGGTTCTTTACTGGATGCTCACCCGCACATGGTTATAGCAGACGAAACAAATGCCTTCGGCAAGTGGAGCTCAAATCCAAACAAATGGATGAACCATTCAGTATACGCATATTATGACACTATTTTTAATGCTTCACAGCGTGCAATCAAACGAGGAAGAAGGTCAGGAGTATTTAAAGAAAGCGTTGTGAATACAACCTCTAAGTATCGTTATTATGTACCAAACCAATGGCAAAGCACGTTTGATCAATACATTGAGGTAAGCCGAATGTGAGACATGCATTATGCACTGAAATCAAAGGATTCAATAGGTATCTCGTGCATTCGCGCAACATATATCGCGATGGCAAACGGATATGAAGAATTACAACTGAGCTTTTTGTTGTCGTGCGTAAGTGTTCTAATTAATTAACTAATTTTCTCCAAATATTTCGGTACATAGATCTTACGATCAGTATTCTTCGTAAACGTTTTACTTATTATAGGAAATGTAGCTTCGGATTTTTCCTTGATTCTATCAACAGATCATTGGAGACAAGGCAGGCGGGTATACAGCGTTTGCGATGAAGAGAACGAATGCGGTAGAAGCCGTTCACCTTTTAGAGAAAACTGCGGGCGCTAAGGTGAAGTTTGTTCACGTTGTGAGAAATCCATTTGACAACATTGCGACCATGGTCCTGCGGAAAAGAGACATAAAAGAACGGTATGGAGAACATAAACTAAAGGTAATTTACTTTTCTTCACCAACAAAATCAAACCAATAACAAATGCTTGCAAAGCAAATTTTAATTCGATTAATTATTTTTTCCCCTTTATTGGCCGAGATCCGAAGACGTGACCTCCAAATAACTGCCGATGTATAATGGTCCACTCATTCATGCGCGATATCGTTTAAATGTGCCTTGATGCAAATAGTATTCTGTTCATGCGTAATTGCACCCACGCTCTTGTGTGAAAAATGGCAGATCGATTCCCTGAGCTGCCAGAGAGTGATTTAAATATGAAAACAAACTTGGTGATCGAATGATAATACAATTATTGAACTCGATTATCGTAAAATATTGTTATTTGTCAGCGTCTTCCAGATCAATTATGAATTGCTCATCACTGACAAGTCACCATATTTGTTTATTATAGATGTTAATTCGGTCTCAAGACATTCAATAAGTGCACTCCTAATTTGCGTTCACAGGTTAACGCTCCTGAAGAACTCGATACAAAAATAAAGACTTACTTCAGTATGGCCGAGGGATGTAACTTGGCCAGGGAAACTTTTCCAGGCAGCGTCATTGATGTACCAAGCATAGAGATAGTCAAGAACCCGGTGGAAACCCTGAGAAGAATCTGTCAGTTCCTTGAAATCGCGTGCACAGAGCAATATCTTCTGGATTGTGCAGCCACTGTGGACCCGGTCCCCTCCATAACACGTGATTTCATAGAATGGACCGCTGAACAAAAACACAAGGTGTACGACATGATGGGAAAATACTCCTTTTTCGAAGGGTATTCTTTTGACAAATAAATAATTGCTATTGCCAGTTTTCATGTGACGTCATCATTTTCTTAAATAAAAATTACCAATCGTTCTGAAGTTTTAGTTTCATCAGATCTAAGAACTTGAATTTTTACAACGTTTAAGCTCGACAGGGTACTTCGTTTCGCAATAGAAAACGTTTGAATTTTGAAGTTAACGTGTTTGGTGACATCAAAATGGCGGCCCTAACCCGGCACTCTCATATGAAAAGATTGGGAATGCTCGTCAGAAAATTTGAATTAAACCCCTATAGGAGACCAATCTTAGCGTGTCTCGAGCTTTATTTGACCTCTAAAAGATATCACTTAAAACTCAATAAGTTCGGTTACCAAGCGCTGTTTAGGAAAAGAGCCCGCCCTAGAAGACCGGCGATAATGAAGCCTAAAATCGGAAATTAAGGGGGATTTTATTATTATTTCTTCGAGTGCACCCTAAAAGATACTTTGACAGCTAAAGATAGCCGTGTTTCGTCATGAACACCCTGTGAGGCCAAAATCCAAATCGAGACAACGAACATCCCCGACCTTTTCATATGGGAGTTTCCTCTCTGCCTCATCGCAAACGCTACAGTTCCGCCTCTCTTGTCTCGAATCACCTATTGATGGAATTAATGAAAAGTTCCGAAGTTATAATATTTCTTGTACTGACTGTCGAACGTTGACGAATAATAATCGTAAGAGCAACCGAAATATTTGGTACCTTGTTCGAAACCGCTGAACAGCGTTCATCACAAATCAAGTGTAATTTCAAATTTCAAATTTAGGTTTTATTTGCTTTTTCAGTTGTATTTTTTCTGTTTTTTTTAATGTCATTTTATTTTGTTTTTGTTTTTTTTTTAATCACAAAAATATTTTCATTTAAAATCAAAAGTAAATAAATCAAGAAATTAATTTAAATCAAAGAAAATGTCTCAAAAATTCTAAAAATGAAAGTAATTTCAAACGTAACCAAAATTTGCTGCGAAATAAATTTTTAAAAAAATTTTAAAAAAGTTTAAAAAATATAGTTTGAAAAAAAGGCATTTTAAACTAAATTAAGGACGGTGCCTACTAAATACAAAGGTTTATGCGCCAGCTTAGGACCATGTGGAAAAAGTAGATCTTTGCAAGGGCTATTGGAATCCACAAAGAAAAATGGGGATAGCCACGCATTTTTTTCGAGATAATTAGCATTGAATCGCAGCAAAATGCTGACATCAACATTTTCCTAAAAAAGAAGGAAAGGATATTTCTTCACAGATTTCCTTAGAATTGGCCTTTACATACAGAAAAGCAGACACATTTATAAAGATCTTAAAACTTCATGGTAAAAACTAATATAAAAACCTTCTTTGGTATGTTTTTAA